AAATTGTAATTTCTCATTTTCCTCTATCGTCCTACGACTCTTCTATATCCTCTTATTCTTACTTAAGTCATTTGAACCCAGGGTGGTACTGACCCCAAAGGGATTGCTGAGAAAACGGGGCTGTCGAAAGTGGCTCCTAATTCACCTACAGGTAATGGTGCCTTTTGTTGTGACTGCCTGGGAGGAGAGGGTCGGTCTGAGCATCAACAAGCCATGGGTATTGCCTGGGTGACCTCCTAGAAAATACCTTTGCCCCATGTTGGGCCTTAGTCTCCTCATCTGTAAGGAGACGGGTAACCTAGAGCACCCTCCGATCCCATTCAATGCTGAACGTCTTGGAACTGATTCCCTGTTTTGCAAACACATCCTTCCTCCTGGATTTGTCTTGCAGTCTCCCTCCACTCATCTTTGGGCATGCAGCCCTCCATCAGCAAGTCCTGTCAATGCCAGTTTCCAAGTAGATCATAAATCCATGGTCACGATCATCATTATGATTTCTATTTCTATAATTTCCCCTGGATAGCTGTAGGAGCCTCTTGTCTGTTCCCTCTGCTTCCACTTTGGACTCTTCTCTTCCCTAATTCATTTTCCTCATAGCTCCCCAGAGTGGTATTTTAGTATGCAATTCAACCCTTCTTTTGCTTAAGACCCCCAGTGGCTTTCCATTTCATTTAGAGTAAACCTCACATCTACACGTGAATGGCCTGGCTTTTGCCTACTTTTCCAGTTCTACCTCAAGGCACTGTGCTCCTTTCTCACTAAAAGCCAGACATACACATCATTTTTCAGGCCTGTAAAAGCATTAGGCTCTTGTCTACCTGGGAACTTCACACATGGCTATGTGTATCCCTCAGCCATTCAAGCCAGACTCTCTCTTACACATAAGGTCCTTGGAGAAACCGTCTCAAAATGCACTAAGTAATTTTTGTTTCATTCCACTTCCTTTATCATCACTGAAAGAGCAGTTTCATTTTTGGGGTAGCATATCAAAATACTCCCAGCTCCTCGAAGCAGAGGCTCCTTCCTACCCTACTCCAGGCTCCATCATTAATATATCTTCCCATATCCTCAGCACCTAAAACCATACCTGGCAGGTCACAGGCAGTTAGTAGTATCTGTTAAGCAAATGAATGTAAATGATATTGGCCACAAATAGGGAAGAAAGAAAGGCAATGGTGAAAAGAAATGTAAATTTTGCCTGCAGCAATTTTTGTTTCACTTTTAATGTATTTTTCAAAATATTCTTCTACATGGAAACAAATCCAAAATATCTATTAAATGTAGGTCTTTGGGCTGAAGGAGCCGGCAGGCCTACAAGGTCCATTCATGGATGGCTTCCTACTCTCAGCATCAACCTGAAGAAAACAACACTGCATCCTGTGATCACAGCTAAGCTGAATTTTAACTTTTAGTGTTAAAAAGTAGGTTTCAAAAAGCCATTTATCATAGAAACATTTCAAAGGAAAGGGAGGGGGTCATTAAGCATTTCAGTAGCACTTGCCGGCCTACATTATTGAATGTGCTAATTACAGATTAGTTTTATGGATTTGTGGTGCTAGCGTGGGAAACATTGACTTTAGGTACTGTGGCCAAGGCTGCAAGTCGACTCTCCTAAATATGTTCCCGTACCTTCTACTTTAGAGAATAGAAAGCCTGAGTCATTGCCTACCTATTTTCCCTGGCCAGTATATGTAATTATGGGCCACAGAGAAGTAGAAGCAGACATTTGTTTGGGATGGAGAGAATTTCATTATTCTTTGATTTTCTTGATCCAAACAGACACATATGGCTGGAAACACTTCCCTCTCTCACTGCTTAAATGTGGTACAGTATCTGGGGGCTCCTCTCCTTGTGAACAAAAAAGGCCAGGAGAATCACAAAACAGCCTATTCTGATTTCATGAAACTATAAGCCACTGCCTGCTACCATGTTTTTCAGGATGCAACCACAATCTGAGATAACCCTCAGTCTGTGATGAGAGTTTTGCTGTTGTTGCTGTAACTTGTAAACAATTATATTTGACCACATTTTGTTGGTTTTTGGTAACTGGATGGGAACAATAACTTTGAAGAGATTAGAATGATATAAAGCCATTTATGTATGAGTGTAGATATGTGCAATTCAGACAGAATTTAGGTCTCTGAATCCTAAGTTAGGGAGGACCTATGGTATATTCATGATATTTAAATAAGTAGTGAGAACAATGAACTGAAGCTCATTTGAAGGATGGGAGCAGCACAGTGTCTAACATAGAATACACCAGGACATGGGTGATGTATCTTGGTTACTTTTCTTTCGTTGCTGAGATAAAATACCCGGTGCCCAAAATTAAGGAAGGAAAGGTTTATTTAGCTTACAGTTTGTGGAGGTTTCAGTCTGTAATCAGCGGGCTCCATAGCACAGGGGCAAAACTTCAAGGTGGCAGAAGACAGCAAAAGCAGCAGGAGCAAAAAGAGGGGGAGCAAGCCTCTTCACTTCCCTTATATTGTATGCCGGCTGTCTGCCCACACCCACACTGTCTCAGTGCCCTCCTCTTGCACAGGCTCAGGGTGAATACAAAGTAAGGACCCTGGCTCCCTGCTGAGTCACATATTAACCTTCTAAACATTTTAAATTGACACAATGAACAACATCCTGGAGCAGGAAGGGCATGTCCTTTTCACCCTAGGATGTAGAACTGCTGAGTTATTTAGTTAAGCTTCTAGACTCCTCAGGTTGACACAGTGTATCAACCATAAGAGTTGAGCAATAATAGTAGTTTCTGCTGGTGTTTATCCTTATCTGCTTGACCTCTGTCCCTTATCACTGTCTTACAGTCATTGTTCTTTTGTCTGGCCCAACATATATTTCCAGTAAACATTGTCATGACATATATATTTCTAATGAAATTTAGTCAAAGTCCTACAAACAATCAAAAATAAAAAATACCATCCACTTGATAGGTTTCCTATGTGAAGGCTGGGCCCTGTGTAACAGGTTCTAAATGTACCACCATCTTTTAAATCTCCCGACAATACTTGAAACAATTATTTTCATCTTATCAAAGAATCATAGAGTAGGGCTGTTATGCAAACTGTGGAGCAGGATGGCTGAACGTGTGCTGTTCACGTTCTTCTTCACCTCAGTGTGAGCTTCTCAGATAATGCAGGTGCACACTCAGAAGCCCAGGGCACACAGTTTGAAAGTCCTCTTTTGGCCAGAGGTCAAGTACCCTCCGAAGCCAGCCGAGTGACACAGCAGTGAAGCAGTAGGGTGGGGGCTGTGGTGACCTGGTGAATGTGTGGGTCAGCTTGAGTGCCTGTCAGTAGAATTTGGACACTCACTGCCTAATACAGATGGGTTAAACAAAAACATGCCTGATACTCAGGATGTGAACCATGAGTTGGGACCTCTGGAGGGCTGATGGGGAGTGTAAAAATACACCCTGAGGTCAGACCACACATAGATGCCTACTCATGAAGGAAATAACAGAAAAATAAGCTCATGAGATATGCTGGTTTTGATGGCCCTATGTTTTTCTGATTAGATAGAGATTGTTTTTTCTGTTTATCCACTGGCCTGATTTATTTTTAAGCAAGCCCTTCCCCTGCTTGGTTCTTTCCACCCTTCACCATGTGTTTGCCAGTGTTGGCCAAGCATCCAGTCTCACACCTCTTCTCCCACGTTCCCCTTCACCCCCCGACTGTCTTCTTATTTAAAGAAAAACAAGATTATAATGGTGAATGTTGAGGCTTTCCAAATTACACAGCAGGCAAAATAAGTCCTGGGGGAAGCTTGTTAGGAAGATTTTACTCTATTGCTGCTTAGAAATGTTGGTCCTCATGGCAGTTAAATGCGAAGTGATGATGGGGGTAAGCATACCTCCAGTAAATTTCCATGAGACCCAGTGTTTATGCACTTATACCTCAGATCTATTCATGGAGGTCAGATTCTAAGCTTTACCTCTGCCTCCTTTTGAGATTGGGTAATCTGCAAAAAAATGCCTACAGGAAAGGGAGTTCACAGATACTAAGCAGCTGTAAAGTGGTTATTATCAGTTAAATTAAAGGAGTTTATGCACGAGCATTCTAAAATGAGGGCAAAGAAATTACACATGAATACAGGAGGTCAGCAAGTGTGAGAATTAGTCTAGATTATGGAGTTTCAAATTTCTTTTTCCACTTTCTCCATTCTACTCTTCCTCTTTTCTTAGCTTCAGATCCACTTGTTTCAAAATTGATTGTATTCACAGGTTCAACACATAAAACACGCAAAAGTGAAGCTGCTCATGTCCCACGTAAGGATCTAAAATCTCACTGATTTTGCTGCCCTAGTACTGTCAATGCAATACCTGAGGTCCTGCTTGTGTTTTCTTTAAACCACAGGAAAAACATTTATGTTACCAAAGGAATTAGAATTTTTCCAAGGACTTCCTCAAAGATAAGAATACTTTCCAAATGAAAGAGCCAGAGTCTACCAGGGTGAGGTGACTTACCACTCCCACACAGATGTTGTGTCACTCACTTATAATCCACCACTCCTCTGCTGTACATATGTAGTATAAGGCAGTGGTCTGAATCTCAACTCACCAATCTACTACTGACTATGCAACCTTGGCAACACAGTCAACATTTCTGTGGTTCCTCATTCATAAAATCAGATAGAAGGTGAGTCCACCTTCTGCTTCTGTGGACATTCATTGCAGTGATGCATGTACAGGAATCACAACCTCGCTCGCTATATTGTAGGTTCTCATTAAGTATCAGTTGTATCACACTGTTCCCCCATTGTTTCTCTGCACTTCAGCCATAACTCTGCCTATGAGTCTTGATGGAACACATTAATCCACTAGCAGACAGAGTTGGATTAGCAGAGATATATCCAGATGACCATAGCATGCAAAGGGCAATTAACTGTAAAGAATAGTTGAAATAATAATTTCTATCTCTTAAATTTCCAGTATATTTCTCCCAAGAGATATATAGCATTGAAAAAAAAGGTTGAGAAAAGAGCTGACTGACCTGGGAGATATGTCACATCCTTGCTGCATGAAAGCTCCCAGGGAGAACCACAAGCTGTTGAATATCCCAAACTCATTTGACTGGTCACTGCTGGTTGTCTGATCTCGTCCTTCCTCAAACTCTTCACTGTGCCACTCATACGGGCTGAAGCGGCTGACCAGGAAGAGGACGACACTCACTCCGATGTAGGCGAAAACTATGCACATCCAAATCTCATAAGCCAAAGGGTCGAGGAAGGAAAATACTCCTGGCTTGGACTTCTGTGGCTTTTTTATCATGATGGAGATACCCAAGCTCATAAATGGCTTGGAGAAGTCTATAACCTCTTCCCGAACCAAGGTGATGGTTAAGGGGGCCACGGCCACATCTGCTCTCTGCAAAAATAAAATAAAAGTCAGTGGAACCAGCATCTCTCTTTGTTCTGTCTCTTTTTTCCCCTCACTTCATTGTAAGTATTCTGTTATATTTTAAGGAATGTGAAAGTGGGAAAGAACTTTAGAAGTCTAATTCCCCAATACTGTAAAATATTTCTGCCAAATGGATGATCAACTCAATATATTATAGGAGAGATTATCCTGTTATTTGACAGTTCGTTTTGCCAGAGGCGTGTTTCTCTTCCTGCAAGAAGGAGGCTGGTGTGATATGTGCCCAGCAGCCCTGCTACCTTCATGTGGTGGGAGAGACCACTCCTTCCCTGTTCAGCCCTCCATATTGGAATGGGGATGACCATTATGGTTACATGGGGAAGCACATAACCCAGGTCTACCCAATCAGCATACTCTGCTCCCCTATTCTGGAAGATTTACTGAAAGAAGGCATGAGACCCAAGTGGGTTTACTGAGAATCATACCTGACAGCAGAGTTGAGTGATACAGAAGATGATCTCTGACATAATTTAAGGTCACTCTAACTTCAAGGCTTACCCTGGGTGCCCTAGGAACATGTGTCAAAAATTCTTCTGTTTGTCACCAAGAACATGAGCCAATCCTTCTGTTTGCTTAAGCCAGTTTGGATTGGATTTTTTTTACCTTAAATGCAGATTATCCTGGTTAACATCATGGTAAAGGCAAATTTAAGTCAATAAATATTTATTGAGCACTTATTGGTAAGTCTAAGCCAGAAGCTCTAGGTAAACTATGGCCCCCACACTCAAGAAATTACAAACTAGTAGAAGAGAGCAACACACATCACACCTACACACACACACCTACACACACACACACACACACACACACACACACACACACACAAGTTTTCCAGTGTATAAGTAGATAGAATATATGCTTTCCAAGAGGTATAAAATGCTACTGAAGACTGAGATGGATTCATTCTGGCTGGGGTGATCATGGATTGCATCAGAAAGAGGTGAAGTATCAATGTGGCCTGGAAAAAGGGTGGGATTTTGAGAGGTTGCTCTAGTGCAGAATGGCATTGCAGGAGGAAGGAGCCATGTGAATAAAGGTCTGGTAGTGAGGAAGTGAAGTTTATTTGTAACTTTTCCTCCCAGGAAGGTTGATGAGAAATACACCAGTGATTCAGCTCTTAAATTTGAAGTCCAATATGTTGAGAAACATGAAATGGTTGTGACAGGGTTCACCCTTGGGCCTCCAGCAGGTGGAATCACCAAGCCTTGTTCTTCTTTCTTGCCTACCTTTCTCTAATCACTCAAGCACTGGTATCTGCTCAGTAAAAATCCACTGCCCCGTTGGCCTGAGATCAAGAAAGTCTGGAAATCCAGGAGGATTTCCATGGACAGATGACACGATATCCATTTCCAAGATGAGAGACACGCCTGTGCATGGCTGTTTAGGCTGCCTGGCTCTCTCTTACAATGCAGCACAGCAGTCCAGATGTGAGGCGGGTGGCAAATGCTGTGCAGATGAAGATCCTGCCAACCCACCGGCCAGCTGTGTCTTAGCGTGAGTTTCTTCTGGTTGGGTGGGGCTACTGAGGAAGTGCCTAAGTGTAATAAAAAGTCTGGCTCCAGAATGTCTTCAATTCTCACTTATAGAAAGGAACTTTCTGTAAAGCAGTGTGGCGTCAGGTGTGAATTTCATAGTAATTCTGTTTTTTTCCCCTAACACTCACTGCATAATCCTTGATAATTTTTATGCATACTTTCCAGACAGTACAAGTAGAAGATATCTAGTCTTTTCTGTAAATCAATACAGAAAAGGAACAGGAGAGAAAAATAATGTAAATGACTTGAAGGGAGTGACAATAAGATACCCACAGCATGGTAAAGTCCAGCTCTGAAACTGATAAAGGGTACTGAATGGATTTGTGTGATGTTTTCTGACATGATCTCATAAAAAAGATCATAGACTCCAAAATTATAGAATAATATCATCTTAATGCTTAATTCATTTAGCAGTCCAAAAATTGGTTCCACGGAACATTGTTTCTGGAGGGATGTTAATAAGTATATCATAAAAATGAACAGGTTTGGGAAACATAGATTTAAGTAAGTTACTTTAGGGCAGGACTTAAAACTTTAAAAGACCACTGTGTGTTGGGTATTTCAAAGAAGGGTAGGTAGGAGGCAGTATTGCCAAATGACCTATGAATCATTCCTTTCCCTAAGCATCAAAAGAGACCTAAATATATAGGATACACACATGGTAGACCGTTTTACAGGTAACGAACCCACGTCCAGACAGGAAAGTGGCCTGCGCAAAGCAGTAGTGTCTTGGTTTGTTTGACATTGACTGAGAGGCTCCAGAAGTTGATTTCCACCGTGTGAGGTAGTCACTGAGGCTTCACAGCCCTCGTCAAGGGCAGATCTGATGTAAGACTGAGCTGCTCTTCTCCCTAACTCCACGGCCCCTGTGTAGCTTCAAGTGAAGCAGTTTGGTTGCTTTTTGGATATCAATTTCCTTATTTAAAAAGGTATAATAGTTCTTGTTTTATGTCTCATAGAATTGTTGTGAGGGCCAAAGGTATTCAAATACTGGAGAGTACTGTGAAGTTCGACCCTTTTATAGGCACTCGGAATTATTCTCATAAATGGGCATCTCAGGCGGCAAACTTGAGGCTTCGTCAGAATCACCTGGAGCGCTGCTCAGAACACGTGGCGGAGTTGCTAGAGTCAGTGGTTCTGGGATGAGAGGTAAGAACTTGCATTTCTATCAAGTTTACAGATGACGCTGATGCTGCTGGCTGAGGGCCACACTTCAAGGTCAACTGCCTAGGAGATCTCAAAATGATGTGATGCCTGGATGACACCCAGGAAAACAGAATACAGCTTTGATGTGGCAGGGAAAAAGCAAAACGTGCATAAAATGATCGGGGTGGGGCTCCACCCTGAGCCGGGCACTGTGTCAGTGAATCCTTCCCAGTGCCGCTCTGCAATAAACGCTTCACTGTCCACCTGTAGGGAGGTGCAGCGAGAGACCTAGCAGAGTTGGAACTCAAATCCAGGTGTCTGTCTGCAAAGTTCACTTTCCTTCTGCTTCACCAAGACCAGACAGAAAGAAGTACAGGTGAAACAGAGACACGAAGATACTGCCACGCGAGAAGCAGAACCCTCGCTGGTGATGCACGGCATCTATGTCCCAATGTGAACACAGCTAGCTGTTCTCGCTTCATAATGGCTTTACAGCTCAGTATTTGGTGTGATTTCTGCAGAGGCTGAGTGAGGTAGGGTAGAGTAAAAAGGCCTCTGTGATTCCTGTGTGAAGTAGGGTGGAGTAGAAAAGACATCAACATGTTGTGACTCTGCTATGACTGGCTGTGTGTCCTTCAGCAAATTATCTAACTTCTCTGGGCCTCAGTGTCCTCAACCTATAGAACGTGTAAAATAGTCTTATGTAATTTATGGGAGAACATGAAGAATTAGTTGAAGAATGTAAGTAAAATATTTGGCCTGGTGCTGGACGTGTACTGTGTGATGAAACGTTACTGCTAACATTGCTGATAAGAACAACAGGGGAAAAAGGAATATAAAGACAGACTGGCAGCTATTTATAAAGCACAGAAGCAGTAGAGTTAGAAGCTTCTCACTGACTTTTCACTGGCTGCACTGGTGGTTTGTAGCTGAGAGTATTTCCTTTCTGTTCTTTCTCAGGGAAATGGAAAAATAAAGGGAAATAATATAGAGAAAAATAAAGGGAGAACAGCCAGTTGAGCGCATCATGGAGTCTTCAGACAATAGCTTTAACTGAGCAGAGGGGTAGGGCTGGTGAAGGGGAGATAGAGGAATAATCCTAACAGCTGAGGCCCACAGGAGAAAGTCCAGATTGTCTGGAGCTGCTGAGCCAGCGATTCACCGTGGATTCCCGACTTTCAGGGGCTTTTCATCAGGATGCTCATGCCACTGTTCTGCCCAGATCAGAGGCTTTGCACTAAGGGAGCTGCATTACACAAGGTGAAGGTGAAGATGAATGCAGGAGAAGGTGAAAAGTTCACAGCAGTTGCCATGGGGATGACCTTCAGGGCATAGTGGAAGTTCCCATGGAAACCAGCCTCCAGATGCGGCATGACCCTTCCAGGTCTCTAGCTTTCATCCATAGAGCTTCCAAAGTGAGAGGCAGGGTAGAGTGAAGAAGGGGGAGAAGCACATTCCATTCCTTAGCCCGTTAACCACCTTCACAGGCCACCTCAAAAGCCACCTCCCTGAGGACTATTTTCCTTACTACATCTTTTTCTTTTTTGAATTCTCTTTGTATAGCGCTTACTGCTATTATACCTCCTCTTGCCCTGATGTGAGACAATGAGACTTGTCATCCTCCTAAGCGATTGTTTCCTCCTGACCAGCACTTAACATTAACCTCAGGCTCCACATGGGCTTCAGCTCAAAGAGCAGCCTAGAGATTTCAGTGTCTGCGAGTGAAGTCACCATAGCCTCTTTCCTGAACATGGCAGCAGGATTCTTCCAGTACCTCAGGTACCTTCCTAATCCCTCTCCCCAGTCTCCCCGATCTTGCCCACCTTTTCTCCCTTGTCAGTTCCTACTTCAACCTGTCCCTGACCACTCCTGAAACCGTGCCCAGGCCCAAGGTGTGTTTTCTCACTCCACTATCACATCTTCTTACTTCTACCACTATCCTTTTAAAAATATACTTTAGAAATTCCTGGGCTGCCCTTCTCTCTTTCTATTTCAATGTGACTTCTTTCCAAGTTCCATGCCTTTCCTGAGAGCTAGGAAAACCGACATTAGCTCTTGTGTGAACCATGCAACTCAGCCTCTGTGATTCTGTGTTTATTTTGTCTCTTATTGGCTTTTCTAGCCTGGTAAAATGTGCTGATCCTGAGGATTGTTTGCTTTGCCCTAACTCTCTAAAACTGGAAACAGTGTCTGGTATTCAGTGGCTTCTCCAAGCTGATTCTATTGATTGAAGTTTTTACAGCAGTTGTGCATGGAGCTATTTCAAGTGAGGTGAGTAAAACAGAATGACAGCAGACATACCTCTATTACACAGTTAACCAGTGCACAAGGTGGAGTAAGCCATAGAAAACTACGTTCTACGGCAGAAAACAATGACTTCAAAGGAAAGTTTAAATTTAGTTTGAAGAGATAGAAGTTAACTGGGTAAAAGAAATGTTGTCTACAAGGCTGGGGAGGGAGATTTTAGAGGTGGAGAATGGTAGAGAGCATTCTAAAGAGGAGAGTGAGTGAAGAGATCTTGCATCATAGGAAAAACCAGAACAAGTGACTAGCAAGATAGGTTGGCTCCAGATTTGCTCCTTCAACCTGTCCCTGACCACTCCTGAAACCACACCCAGGGTTTCAGCTGAATCCCAGGGAATTAATTAATCCCCGGGAAGAAACTGACACTGAAGGAACCTCATACAACTTTGAGGGAAGTAATAACTTAGAAATCTGCCTTGAGAAAATTGATCTTGGAGCTACAGGGTTAGGTGTGTTGGACAATGATCAATTGAAGGGACAAGATACTGAGTGAGGGTGAAGGCGCTGGCACCAGAAACCTGAACAAAGGATGTCTTAAGACACTGTGCTGTGGACGAATAGTCTATTCAGCAACAATGCTCAGTGATGGAGTCACATAGGCATTAGAGGTCCATGCGGCCACCAAACGCTTTCCTTCAAACTCTCTGGTTTTGTCTTCCATCTCTCCGCCCTGGGAAGAACTTACTCCATAAACCAGCTCTCCCACCATGCCATTCCAGGCCTTTGTGTCAGGATCTCGGGCTCCATATTTCCCATCACTGACGATCTCAAGGCGGTAGGAGTAGCCCACATGCTTGGCAATTTCTGCTGCCAGCTCCACACAGTATCCCTCATAGCGGTCGTTTCCCTCGAACTGGTTGGCATTCTTCTTGAGCATCACGTAAGGGTCTTCCTGGTAGAGAAATGGAGAGACAGAGAGTATGGTTAGGGGCTTACCCACAGGTAGAGAAGACTTTGGCATGGCACAGGAGGACATCACCAAAATTGCCTGACATCGGGGAAGTCTCTAAATGTATTTCTGAACATCTAGCCCACATTAGAAGTTTCTTAGGCTAAGGAAGCAAAATTTGTTAAAACAGCCATGTTTCATCATTGAGATGGTACACAGCCTTTCCAACTATTTTTATGAGCCCTTTTTTTAGCTTCTTTTTAAAAAAAGTACATTTGAAGGAAGGAGAACTAGACTGTAAATAAGCTCATATATGGCTTAGGCATGGGTACAAAATGAGACAATGAATCTAAGAGATGCTGAGTGAAAGGTAGGAATCTCTCATTCTCAGGGCGTTCCTTCTTCCACGCCTTGGCACTGTTTGGGGAGAAGAGTGACCGACTCTCCCTCCGAGTGGAAACCACTTGCGCTGTCCAGTGAGAATCCCAGTAACCTTGAGGAAGGAGTGAGGACTCACTAGGATAGTGGTGACGATGTATGTTCTGTTCTGAACACTGGAGTTGTCTCCTCCAGCTTGAGCATCAGTGGCTGCAGGGACAAATTTGTCATCTTCGTTCCAGTAGCCAATCTGTGAATGAGAAGGTGGGGCTATAAGGCAATCCAGGGTCCTCAGGACCACCCAGTCAACACTAGAGACAGGAAAGTTCAGTGTCCTACCGTGCAGTACTGGGCACACAGACCCTAAACTAATGGTAGACAGAAACAACCAGAGGCAAGGTGCTTTCCAGGTTCCCCCAGCTCAGCCTGCCCCGCAGTGAAAATCCTCACAGTGGTGAGTGAAGCCAGGAAACTGCCCCTTCTGAGCAGTGAGGGTGTAACAGTTTACAAAGCTCAACTCTTTTGTCCCATCAAGCCAGGGCTTGGGGATTTTATTACTTGCAATTGTTCACCAGGGCAGAGCTCATCTGCCCATGAACCCTTTCTTTCCCAGGACTCATTATTAACTGTAGTTTAATCTGTGTTTTCCTACCCAGATTTAACTTCTCAGGATAATTATTTTATCCTTTATTTATTTCTTCTTAACTATGATACTATAATACATAATAATACATGTAAGTAGTTCTCAGATTAATAGATTAAACATTAATTTTCCAAATACCAGTAGTTTATGAATACTGATTTATTTTTTGAGGTCTTTCAGCAAGTACAATCCATACTGCTTGCAAGGCTCTGAGTTGAAATATTCATCTTGGTGTGTGGCAGGGCTGAGAGAGGTAGAGAGAAGTCCAAGAGATCGTCTCTGCTCTGTGGACACTGCTGGTACACTTAGGAGGACACGAAGCACACATACACACAGAGAAAGCCCTGACAAGTGTGTGGGCTAAGGAGTTCAGAGGAGCAAAGCCCAGGGTGGGGTTTTGTGTAGGCCACAAGGCAGCAGAAGGAGGCAGGGCTTAAGGTCATGAGAGAGGGGAGGAGAAGGCCCAAATTGGGAAGAATATGAGGCAAGGTGTAAAGGTGGGAATTGCCCAGATACACAAGTTCCACGAGTCCTAGATGGACCGTAGTGTTCGTCCAGGAGGACAGTGAGTGCTTGGGTCTAAGTGGCAGAGGTTTTAAATGCAAGGGTAAGTAATGTAGACTTCATCCTTAAGGCAACAGAGAGTCATGGGAGGTTTGCAGGCAACAGAATGACACAGTAAATACACACACACACACACACACACACACACACACACACACACGCACACACACACATATACACACACTTGCGCGTGCGCACAAGCACATGAACCTAAGCTTCCTATACTGTTCTGTTCTCCTCCCTTCCTACCTCTTTCCTTCTTCTCTGCCTTTTCTCCTCCCTCTCCCTCTCCATATCTATTTAGACATTTCTATCTGTTTTGTGATTATTCTGCTGTCAGTAGAAAGGAGAAATAAAAGGAAAAAGGAAGGAGAATTAGAAGTGCATAGGAGGAGGCTGAGCAGGTTTACCAGCAGTCAACACTCAGGTCAAGCTCATCGCAACCACGGCACATGACATCCCGGTCAGGTCCAATGTCACTGACACCTTCAATTCCTTCCTAGTTCCTTTAGTGGTAGATTAACTGCTCTTCCTGTGATCTCCCTGTCATTAACAACAATGATAACTGCCAGCACTGGTAGCATTCTTGCTGTCACAGGCTGAGGGCTTCACAGTTTTCATGCCATTTCATCTGGTTTAGGGGAGGCTGTTAACCTGTCCAAGATGGTGTAGCTGGAAAGCAGCTGAGCTCGGCCTGGAACCCTGGCCATCTGTGTCTGGCACCTGCTTTTCACCACTATGCTATTCTTGCTAAGAGACTCCTCCCATCGCTGGTCCAGAATCCTATTAGTTATCATTTATTGAATGCTTCTTGGGTTTCAGGTGCTCATCTAAGTGCTTTTTATGTTTTATTCACTTCATCCCTTAAACCCCCCAAAAGCTGGCCAATTATCTTTCCCATTTTAAGTGTGTAGAAACCATGAGGTGGACAAGTAGAGTAATTTTCCCAGTGCCACAAAAGAGCCACAGAACCAGGACCTGAGCAAAGAAGCTGACTCGAGGTCCTGCCACCTGCACTCCAGGGCGTGTCCAGCCAAGCCTTAAGGGTTTGTGTGCTTTCCCAGTACAGCCTCATTGTCCAGCTGCTTGATGTCTGTCTCCATCTCGCTGTGGTTCTGAGGCCCCTTGGGGACAAGATGGAAGGACACTGTTCCTAGAGTCCCTGTCTTAGCCCAGCACACCCTTTCACAGACAAGCAGTTTACAAGAGTTTGAGGAGAGAATGAACGAGACAGCTGTGACCCAGTATGGAATGGGTGCTCGCTGATGTTTCTAAGGCAGTTCAGAGGCCTGAGGGGGGTGTGTCACTCAGGGTCTGTGTTCACGCGTATCTAAGGGCAAGTGTGTCATGATGTTGCCTGTGTGTGAGGCTCTTTGTCCATGTGAAAGGAGACATTTTTTTCTGATGACACAAGAGCCAGAAACTTAGATTTCTGGAGTGCCATCACTACTGCAAGAAACCGGAAAAAGCGTTTCACCCAACTCCTACATTTTACACAGAGGCAGCCGGCTCAGAGACTACTGTGCAGTCTCATCCCCTCACCTGGTTGAAGCAGTGTTCTAAGGGGCCCCAGGGGATCTGAGAGGACCTTTCATCTCTTTCACAAGAGGTGAGGAAAGTTCAGGAAAGAGGAGCGGATCTCCGGGTTCCTCATTTCAGCTCCAGAACTCAGCTATGCTCAATTTATTTCCTGTAGGAAGGGATTTCCCTTAAGAGTTGATTTTTACAAGGAACTCTCTGATCAAATAATAAATTACCTAAATGACTATTGTAGTATAACATGGTGTGTGTGTGTGTGTGTGTGTGTGTGTGTTAGTATTTTAAACAATCCCTAAGATATTTTTCACACTTAACTCTTTTGATCCTTATAGTATGCAGAGTAGAGATAGACTTGTGATTATTTTCTCTGTTTTACACATGAGAAAATGTAGGCTTAGAGTGATTAAATGATCTAACTTATAATATTAGATTATGCAGCAGATGAGTGGTAGGGATGAGAACCCAGATCTCATGGACCACGAAGGTAAGACTGTTTGATAAAATTAATATAAATTTCAGACAATGGCTGCCAAATATGATTATTTCCCCCCCATAGATGATTCTAAGGGGTTTTTGTTATTTTCTTTCCACTTTTTCTTCTCTCTTCCTCCCTCCTTATCTTTCTTTCTTCTCTCTTCACAATTGCTCTAAAAATTCAGCTGTTCCTACTTAAAGTATAAAACTGTTAGAAGATAGGAAGTTGCATCTTTAATTAGCAAATAATTCCTCTGAAATATACAATGTATGAAGCAGTATATTTTGAAAGGGGCTCAGTGGTCTAGAAATTAGTTGAGACCCAAGTGGATCTGTTATAAGAGCTAGTCTTTACTAATACTATGACCTTGGGCAAGTGGTTTGATTCTATAGGCCTCAGTTACTGATATAGCATGGAGACATTAATAGAACCTGCCCCATGGGGATGTGGTAAAGTCTACATGAGCCAGTGCAGTACAACAATGTGCAGAGTATGTTGTTAGTTCTTGTTACATTCTCAGCTTGCTAAAGAATGATATTTATTATGATGATGTCTTATTAGAGGTTAATAAATTTCTATACTACAATGCATTCCAGTTTACAGTTTTCTATTCAACATTATCAGTCTCAAAAAACAGTACTGTATTTATTCCAAAGAATTTCCAAACTCATTCGACAATCAAACCTTTGTTTACATACAGAATGTCTCAGGGTAAATGGTTTAAAAAAATCACAAAATCTGCTTTAAGTTTTCAACTTATTTTGATAAAATTCAGGAAAAAAAAGCAAGATAAATCTATGTATGCCAGATTTACATAGCTTAGGGGCAAAACTGTTAAAGATAGTGGTCCTTCAAAGCTAGTACCATTGGTGCTGTGGATTTAGCTCAGAGGCATAGTGCCTGTCTGGCAAATGTGAGGTCGTGAGTTCAATTCCCAGTACCGGGGGGAAAAAAAAATGCTAGTACCATCACACTAACATTAATTTGGCACATACAGTATAGCTTGGCTCATTTATAGCAAATTTCACATCAAAAACTAATACAATAGTTAAATATTATGAATGAGTTTATTTTACTGCTAACCTTCTCATAGGAAAAAAAAAAAGAATACTGCCAGGGTTAGCAGAGACTTCGTGATACCAAAACTCATGCTTAGCATAGTAGTAGACTGAGAAATCTGGTTCCAGAGTTTGATGCAAAGAAGCTGGCAAAGGTATTTGGAGAGACATCACACATTGGAAATGAGAACAGATTTCTTTCTTTGGGAAATAGATTGGATTATTGCATAGCACGTTGATTCTCTACTGAAGATACACAGGAACTTTGATTCTCTTGGAAAGTAAGTCAGAGTTAGTAGTTTGGTAAGACTGTGGCCACTGCTTGGGAGAGGATTTAAACAATTCTGACAGTGGGAGGCTCCTCTCAGGCCAGTTAGATTTTCTGATCTTCTGTTTTCTATCTGCCTCTAAAGATTCTTTGATTATAGAAAATGAGCCTTCATGATATGTCATGGTTTTTAAGTGGTTGAAGTATAAAGGGGGTGACCATGGAACTATAATTCAATTGATTTACCTTATGTAGTCAGCAATTTGAATTTATACACTGATATCTCCAGGTTGCCTTTGAATCTACAGGCCCTGACCTCCAAAAATGAGATCCATTATAGTCAAAATTTTAAAAAGTAGGTTGCCACTGTGGCAAAGACAACTAGCTAACCAGCAAGTGTTCTTGTTTGCCTCCCTAGTGTGGAGATGTTGGTGGGAAGTGACTTCGTATCCAGAAACTTAATTTCCAAGCCAGCTTTGTACCTCATTGGGCCAAATTATTAGCTTTTGGACAATGGAATACAATGGAAGTGATGTTCATCTCTTCCAGGCTGACCCTGCAAAAATCTCCAGTAGCGTTTCCATTTTCATTCTTCCCCATCTGTTTATTAACTGTTGACAGCCGTAAATCCTCACCCAGCCTGAAGCCCCGTGGTAGGCAGTGGTGCCCGCATGAACCTGAGTCGCAGCCAGGGCCCTCAGGC